TCTCTCTCTCTCTCTCTCTCTTTTTCTCTTTCTCAGTTTCGCGTTCGCACGGAAGAGGAAGAGGAAGAGGCCGAGAGTTAACCGAAGAAGATGGGGACAAGACAAACGCGACGCGATAAGAAAAGAAAAAAAAAAAAAGAAAAAGAAAAGAGGACGACAGTCGGCAGGGTTTTCATCGCGGCGAATGAAAGTGGCTTTTCGAGGGACGCACGCCAACCGAAGGAGACAGATATTCGATTTTCATAGAGGAGGGGACACACCTGCCGAATTCCCATGTCATCCGAGAGACGCATCGTCGAACAAGAGGAACGAACTCGTCGGGGATCGAGCTTTCCAATGGAATTTCGCTTCACTGTACACTACCGTCTCTTCTCTTCGCCTGTCACTCTTTCTCTCTTTGTCTCTCCTGGGCATGGGATCTCATTAAACTCTTGCGATTCTCTCCTCAATCTTCGATAAACATTATTTATTACACGTTACGTCTAACATGTCGAATGTGAAAGCTGAAATGTTTCCTAAGCGATTAATTGCTTTAAAAAATGTTTTAGACAAAAGTTGAATGGAAGCTTCTTCCGAGAGAAGCAACAGTTGATATAATTAACATTACTTTCTAATATCGATGCATAGAAGGCGTTCTTTTTACAAGTGAAATCGTATATGTTTTAATATATTGATCGATTCGTCATAGTGTCAAGCAATTTAAATCGAAAAATCATTAGTTCAGAAGATATTTTAATGAAAATATTGCAGCGTGATGCTTGTTCAAAGAGAGAACATAATTTCTATTTCTATTAATCCATCCAGTATGAAGGATTGAAATTAAAAATTCAAGTACATATTCCATTCGCCTTCTGTATCAAATCGAAATCTATATTATCCAATGATCCACCGGCTTAATTGGCGATTTTCTTACGCGCGAGCTGCGATTACGATCGCTTGAAGCGGAGGATTCGATTACTTGCCAAACATTCATTGCACACAAGATTGATTTTTCTCCACCGGCGAGTTTATTCGACGAGGAATCGAGCGGAACACACACCGCTCACGCCGATCGAAATCGAGTTTCTTGCGAACCTTTTTGCACGGCCTTTATACGCGCAATTAACTTCAAAACGGTATTACGAACCCGTTCTCGATGTTGATTAACAAAGTTGAACAACTTGCCACGTTTACCACCGGCTGTTTTACGCGTGTCTCCGTTTCGAAGACAATGAGGAGAGACACACGCCGCTCTCGACAGATCGTAGAGAGGAGGAAATTTACAATCGACGTCCGGCGCGAACGCGATGGAAAAATTCGCGGTGAACGGAATGGCGCTGAGGAGAGAGATACGCGAGCGAGCGCCGAACGATCGTGGGATGAATTTCATCGGGGCCATTAGGAATGAAATCGAAGCCCGTAGAAACTACCGAGACGCCTTCCGCGGCGAATGAAACCGGTTTTTAACCGTCCGCCCGGATCTTTTAGCCACTGTTGCGCCCGCCACGTCGTATTCCCGGCACATCGACGCAACTGCATCGTGCATGTACCGTTGCATGTGCACGTTGCAACTGCGTCTGCGACATGCTTTAAGACCGCGAGAACTCCGGGCTGTATCTCGTCAGTTGTCACATAAATTTGTACCATCTCGGCACGGTTGGCAGTCGTCGAGCGCGAGCTCTTTACTTCGAGCAAATGGTCTCTCTCTCCTTTCTCTCCAACGATCCCGGTCTAAATAATATCTGTTCGCGTGCTCGAATCCATCGATCGACGATCAACACGTCGGTGTTGACAACGGACAATTTTCGCATTGAGATCGATGCTTCTTCGAAGAATGAAACGATACGACGAAAGTTGACCGTTTTTCCGAAAGTGACCGTGAAATACTGTTGAAAGAAAAAAGATGAAACGGTAAAAGTTTTTCCTTGCCTCTTGGCTCGATACGTGTGACTCGTCAAACTCTCTCTCTCTCTGTCCCTTTCTCTCTCGTAACTTGTCCTTAACCCCTGCATACAGGTGTTTTGCTTTTTTTTTCCACGGGTCGAGTCACGCGACGCGAAACTGCCGACACCGTGGCGAGACCAACCTCCTCTGTCTTCAGACCCGTTACACCCACACCCACTGGCGGTCGACCACCCAGTTATCCACCCTACTCTTGCCTACCATGTCGTGTTAATTAATATCACTTCGCGCGCGCCAACTGCACATCCCCTTCACCTTTCCTCTTTTTCAGCTCTCAATCTCTCTCTCTCTCTCTCTCTCACTCTCTGTAGATTTTCTAACTCTTTACAACAAAAGTCGCACAGCCACGGGATATGAAACGTTCTTGGTCGTTCGCTGGTCGACGAATAAAAATTCACGTGAAAGAAAGAGAGAGAGACAGAGAGAGTGCAAAGGAGACAAAGAATGCAGAGTCGTGTGCGCGACCACACCCCTTCTCTTCTCCCCTTCCCGTAGCAGTCTCTCCTCTCTTACCGCGCTTTGCACGAGGGTGGATGCTTGGAAACAATGTGACATTCACGTAGGTGCGAAACCTGTAGGGGGGACACAGACAGAAAGACTCTCGAACTCCTCCGAGATCCTCCTAGCTCTCCTCTCTTCGCCAGCCACCATCTTCGCATCATCCGCGAGAACCACTTCTCACCTCCCTCGCTGCTTCTCTTCCTCAGACACTGAGCAGATTTTCTACTCGATCGTGGTATCTCTGAGTCGCCTCCCTAACCATGCAGTTCGCGTGTATCGTTTCACATTTCTTACCGGGAACGTTACAATTCCATTCCATCCAGTTCTTTCAGATATTCATTTTATGTTTGGAATCGGAGCATTTCTTTTTTTTAAAGGCTGAATACGAAAGCGTTGTGGTGATAGATCGATAACTGGTCAAGTTTTGAATCGAGCATCGTGCCATCATCTGGGCGCAAAATGAGGAACATTTTGAAAATCTCTTCTCCAACGATTGTGACTCATTGTGCAATAAGAAAATAACACAAAAAAAATGTAATTGTTATTGACTTCATCTTATGATCTTAAAAATGACCAAAAGAATTAAACGTGTTTCGTTCGTATTACTCGACATTCTATCTACTGTTTTAACAAATATCTGTTTTAAGAGGAAATTCTAGAAGAAGATATTTTACACAAAAAGGAATGAAAATCTATAGAAAAAGTATATCTTTCTACTTCAGATAACCTTGAAGAGTGACAATTGTATTTCTTACCTTTAGGATTAAATGTTTTTCCCGAAAAGAATGTTACTTTCGAGATATTTGGATTGAAAATCTTCGAATGAACACACTGCACAATAGGATTCTGGACAATAGTATATCTGTTAATTCTCCCCTCTGTTGATATGCTTTTTCATTTATATAATAGGAATTCAGATTCAACAAGAGTTCATTTAATTGCTGGAGCATTGAGCGAAATTTTAAATGGAGTCTGTGTAAACGGAATCCTGTTGCATCATTAAAATACAGAGAATTTTTAAATATTTAGTTCCAATATTTAATATAACTTTATCATCTTTTCTGTATTCTCTGTTTTTTACGAATAAAATGTATGAAAGGACGCACAGTTTGAAAAGATACAAATACGTGAAGCATGGAGAACGACAGTGTTGAAGTTTACACATTACAAATAAATTCTCGCGATAGAAAATACAAATAAACCTCTTTAGTTCAATCTTAAGATGTAGAGCTAACATGATAATAATTAGGTGACTTCGAGCATGCCTCGTTGTTTATTTTAGAAATTTTCAATCGATTGAAATGTGTGTTTTTAATCGCACTGAAAAAATTTTGCACAAACTTTATAAAGCATGAAGGTATTTATCAGGCGTGAACGTGAAACTTGAAAATGCAAAAAATTAAAAACGGAGAAACGTTCGTCGATTATAATTGTCGAGAGGTGACAAAAATATCAACCTTTTAATAGAATCATACTATTGTGCCAATTATTTATCCACAATAGTGTACATCTTTCTCTTAGTAAATACTAAATTTAAGTATGTGTTCTCACCACATCAATCACTGTCGTTTGATGATACTTCGCAGTATCGTCGCGAGGACTATAAACCACGAGAATCGAACGCTCGATCCACAAATCCGGAAGCACACGAGTCGCGAAGAAACTGGCACGGAAGTGAAACTGTTTCGAACATATACGCACAAGGAAGTAGAAACGGCTGTGCGGTAATAGAAACTACCCTCTGATCCACCGTTCCCTCCTACACGTTACCAACTTGTTTACGATCGTATAAAACGCTTGTAAAGAAGCGAACGCGGAGATCGGAATAGCTACGATATATACCGAGGAGAGCCGATTACGCGAATTTATGTCGTCCCGCGCGAATAATAAACAAACATTTTTATAACGTTATTTTTAACGCA